GTCAAGAAGGAAAGCAATTGGCAGAGTCTGCACCGTCGCAATGGCTGCGAGCAGCACCGGCCGGCAGGGGGAGAGGGCTCGGAGAGGGTGAGACAGTAGCTCGTCCCCATTTCGGAGAAAACAAAATAAAAACCCCACGGAGGCGCCTGGAGAGGCGGGGCTGCCCCTGCCGGCCGGGCTCGCACCCGGGACCGCTGGGCACCGGCTGTGGGGAAGGCTCTGCGTGAGCGAGGGGCGCAGCGGACCCACCGAGGGGGCGGAGCGGGGGTGGGGGGTGTGTGGGTGCTGTCCGGAGGGAAGGACAGCGGGGGGTGTGCCCCTCTCCTCGCCGGGTCTACAGGAGGAGGAGGTGCCTGTTTCCAAAGCCCAGCCCGGAGGAGACGGAGCCGCCTCCCCCGTCCGCCCTGCCGGCTGCGCTCTGGTGGGCCGGAGTGCGTGTGCGTCCGTGGACGAAGTGGCCGAAGCGGAGGCGGCGGACCTTCATTTCCCTGTCTGGGCCTCGGCTCTGAGCGTCAGCGATAACCAGGCCGCCTCGGCCTTCCGCCCCGGGCGTCGGGGGCCCTTATCGCTGGGAAGTTATTGGAAAGCCCCGCCCGCGTCCTCCTTATCGCCACGGGAGCCCAGAATCCCGCCTCCTCTCCGACCGCAGCCGCGAGAGCTTTATTAACCGCCCTCTGCTCGTCTGCGTCTCCGCGGCCGCCGAGAACACAGCGCGTCCTGCATATGAAGCCCTTTGTGTCCCTGGGACAGCAATTTCCTGTGAGACGTTTGGCTGGAAAGTTCCATCAACTTGAACAAACAAACAGACCGGGCTGTGTTCACTGATGCTCCGTGAGATGTTCTCCGAAGCTCTGGACGCACGGGGCAGGTGAGGGAGACGGTTACTTCTGCTGAGGCTTTGGCAGTACGCTCTGTTTTATGCAAATGCTGTCTTCATTTTCTCCCCCCCCCCCCCCCCCCACAGAGAGGGAGAGGGATAGAGAGCTAGAAACATCGATGAGAGAGAGACATCGAGCAGCTGCCTCTTGCACACCCCCTACTGGGGCTGTGCCCGCAACCAAGGTACATGCCCTTGACCGGAATCGAACCTGGGACCTTTCAGTCCGCAGACCGACGCTCTATCCACTGAGCCAAACCAGTTTCGGCTGTCTTCACTTTTAAAGTGTCAGAATCCAGGGAACTTATGTAATGGTTGTCGATTGGGAAATAATTAGAGTCTCTTTGTTGTGCCAGACGCTGGGAGAAGCCCGGGAAGCACATGGATGCTCAGAGGGGGCTCAGCAGGGGCAACTGGCCTCTTCCTCCCTCTAGGAGAGAAGCTGGAGGGACACGGGCAGCGCCTCCCCCTGGCCTGGGGGACGGGGTCACCCCCTCACCAGGCTGCTCCCCCGGGCCCAGCCTGCCCCCGGCACAATGGCTGCACCGCCTGCGCTCGAAGCAGCACCCGCTCCCCCTTGGACGTGGCTCCCGCTCAGGATTCACAGTGACGCCGGTGGCCATGGAGCCCCAGGTAGCAAGCCACCAGCCAGCGGGGTTTCCTCGTCATGGGCGACCGTTTCCTTCTGAGCTCACCTCGTCCCCACGGCTCTCCCCGCCGGGCCTGAGCCGTGTCCCACGCGGGGACGTGGGAAAGCAGCCCAAGCGGCCCGCGGAAGTTCCGTGTGGAGAATAGGGGCGTGGCTCTCGCAGGTGGAGGACCATCGGGTGAGATGGGGAGGGGGGGAGGCACGGCACCCAAACCGGCCGGGACCTCAGCCATGGACGGAGCCACGCCAGAGCACATCCAGGCCGCCGTCCTCGGGATGCTAGGGAAACGGCGGATGCTGTTGTCATGGCGACAACACAGCTGGGCTGGAGAGCTGAAGGTCTCTGCATAGGCCCCACGCCTCCCAGCCACATGGAAGCGGCGTGTGCTCAGCAGCCTCCGCGCTCCCACACCAGCTCCTCCCAGCTCGCCGGGCAGACCGAGCGGCGGGGACAGGACTGGGTGCTCGCTCATCACGCCCCTGATGGACGGCGCTCCCCTCGGCCGGCCTGACGGAGCCCCCGTGTGGACACCCGCTCCTGCAGACAACACGCCAGGATTGGAAGCTGTAAGCACAGAACGGGCCCGGGTGGCAAGCCCGAGCGGCCACCGACCCCTCGGCCCAGCCAGGCAGGCTGTGCTGTCTGAGAGAAGGACATCGCCCACGACACCAGGCCAACAATCGCACTGGGGACGGGACCCGGAACTCCCCACCATGAGGGGCTGCTGTCCCCAGGCCGTGGCCGGGCTGGAGGGAAAGGGCAGCCCAGGCAGCAGGTGGTCTCCAGCCCCGGTGGACACTGCTCCACGCCATCTCCATCCACGGGCGCCCGTCCACCTGCTCCGGCTCCTGGAGAGGCTCCAGGGCTCCCGCCTCCTCCCACCCCCCCCTCCATCTGTCAGAGCCGCCCTCCTCCCCTGCAGGTGTGGCCCAGACCCCATTGTCTCCCCAGCAGCACCCAGACCACCCCCGGGTCCCACCACTGCCCCCAAGAGGCTCCAATCACCTTCCTCAAACACAGGTCAACGGCCACCTCTCCCCACATCTTCCGGTCTCTCCTCACCGTTAAAACCAGGCTTCTTTTAAAAATCACCCGTTTCTCAAGTTTTAGAACGAAAGCTGTGTAGGGTTGGGAGCTGGAGCCGAGGTGGTGTGGGTGGGCCTCGTCCAATCAGGCGAAGGCCTTCCTAGAGCAAAAGGCTGACCTCCCATTAGCAGGAGGGGATTCTGCTCTCCCCCTCCCCCGGATCTACCAACGTCCATGTCAACCTCACCCCAAACCTCCCTCAGAGAAACATCTAGAACCATGTCCGCTCAGGTGACCTGGGCGCCGTGGCCCGGCCACGCCGACGGGGGACCCGGAGCACAGCTGCGCAGACAAGGGAAACGTCACTCACCGGACCGGGCTGCTTCCTGTGGAGCCCGCGTGGGAGCGAGGCCCGGGCTGGTCTCTCGCGAGGACTTGGCTCCTTCTCCCTCTGGTCTGAGTCTCTGCCAGCCACCCAGCCCAGTTCAACTACGTGTCCTACAAACAACACGGACAGGAAAGCCTTCTCGTACGGAGCGGCGGCGGGCACAGAGCCGGGACGTGTGAGGGCCAGCGGGAGCGTGAGGCCCTGCGGCTCCCTCCGCCGTCGCACCCAAGAGGACGCGCCCCTGTGCCCAGCGCCTCCTCCCAAAGCCCGAGCCCACGGTCCCGCAGGCCGAGGGGGCAGGGTGGGCGGCACCCCCGGGGGCAGTGTGTGGGCCCGGGGACTCTGTGCTGAGGACCGAGCTCACTGGTCATTGGAACCGCGTCCGGAGGCGAGCTGCCCGGAGGGACAGAGGGGGACGCCCCACGGCCATCGCAGCAGCGACGGGAAGTGAGCGAGTTTCTCGTGGGGACGGTGGTGGTGGGCTGCCTCCCGGCGGCTCTGCCTCTGAGCCACCGCCGGGAGCCCGGCCGGCGCCCCCCAGACACCGTGTGCCCGAGACCATCAGCGCCCTCCTCAGCCCTCAGTGCACACGGGTGTGTGTGTGTGTGTGTGTGTGTGTGTGTGTCCGAGACCATCAGCGCCCTCCTCAGCCCTCAGTGCACACGGGTGTGTGTGTGTGTGTGTGTGTGTCCGAGACCATCACCACCCTCCTCAGCCCTCAGTGCACACAGGTGTGTGTGCGTGTGTGTGTGTGTGTGTGTGTGTGTGTGTGTGTGTGTCCGAGACCATCAGCGCCCTCCTCAGACCTCAGTGCACACGGGTGTGTGTGTGTGTGTCCCCGAGACCATCACCGCCCTCCTCAGCCCTCAGTGCACACGGGTGGGTGTGTGTGTGTGTTCCCGTGGAATCACCCCAAACGGCTCCATGGGTTGCAGGCAAAGGACCACGTGCCCAGAAGGCGTGATGACATTTTATTGGAAGTTTATTGGATGGTGTGCAATCACAGACGGTATCACGTGCCATTTCTAAAGCGGGCAGCATCACACATTGTATTTTCTGAGACCCCGAGTTCACCACGGAAACACGCCACGTGTCCTTCCTGTGACTTCCTGCGTGCGGATCCCTGGGAAACAGGCTACGGCTCAGAGGTGCACGTGTCCCGAGGTGCTGCGGGTTGATTATGAAAATAAAGAGAAATGCAAAAATATGGTGTGGCCGTGCCAGAAAAATAGATTGATTTCTTTGATTCTATGACTGAGGTTCAATCTGACGGGGACGAGCAGCTGAAGGCCTCAGCTCCCTGAACACCGATCGCCAACCCGCTCCTCCCTCGAACACCGGGCCAGGGCCTCGGCTGCCGGTGGTGCGGCCGTGCTGAGGGCTCCTGAAGGCGGTCAGGAAAGCGGGCGGGCGTCACCAGAGCACCACCCCACCCCGCGTGTCGCTGGGGATGCAGTTTAAGGTTTAAAGAAGGAAGTGCTGTGGATTCACTGGTGACTGGCTCAGCCTGAGCAGCGAATGGCCGAGTGACATCTACTGTCAAAATCCCCCGCCTTCCGGCCGCGCCCCAGGGAAGGCTCCCCCAGGGCTTGTGCACAGCTGGGCGAACGCCGTTCCCGGGGTTTCCTGCCACCGTGAGGAAGGCACTCGACGTCCTTCAGCTGTGCTTCCTGGAGCTAATTGTGCGTGCTCGGACACAGCGTTAAAATTAACTTTCAGATTATAAAATGCTTCCTCGGCACTTGGTGCTCACAGCCTTAATTTCGCTCCGTTAGCAGCCACGGAGCTCAGCCCAGGGCGTCTGGAAGCCACCAAACACGCATGTTCTGTACCGTGACCGCCGCGGGGTGACCACCTACTGACCGCCGCCCCCTGATTAGCCCCCAGAGAATTGATCGATTAGGACCGCCCATTGAATGGCGCGGTGGCAGGCTGGCTTTCTTTTTTAATTATGTGTGATTAGGCGTTTGCTCAGCGATCAGTGCTTATCTGGAAACGGCGCCTCGTTGTCCTGGTGGAAGGGCTGGCCTGAACCGCCAACAGAGGCCCGCCCATCGCCTCAGCACCCGGTCCGCACGGCCAGGGGCAGGCCCCGCTTGGGCACGTAAGGGGTCGTCCTGGCAACCATGCGGATGCAGTCGATGATGGGGCAGACGCTGAGGCACAGGGTGCAGCCCGTGCAGGCGTCCCGCACGCTGGGCAGGTGGGTCTCGGGGTCAAACTGGATGGCCTGCGAACAGACAGAGAGGCCATCACCGTCACAGCGCCCCCTCCAGGCGAGGAGCACCCCTCCCTCCGGGGCCCGCCAGCTCTCCCTCCGCCCAGCAGCCAGCTAAGCCCAGGCTGGTGCAGCCATGGCAACAGTGGAGCTGCCCGCGAGGAGGGGCGCGGAGGGGAGGATGGAGCCCGGCGCCGCAGAGAGAAAGCCTTTCCGCTGCGGACAGAGTGTTCAGCCTCCCCGCGGGGCTGTCCTTGTGTCGCGTGGCAACGCGGCTGCTCTCCGTCCGTCCGTCCGTCCGTCCGTCCCCTGTGGGAGCGGGCTCAGCCTTCTGCCGTCCGACCCCACGGCCGGCGGGCTCGCTGTGTGGGCTGGGGGTTCAGCGGGTGTTTGGAGGAGAGCAGGAGGGAGAGGGTGAGCTCGGGAGCCGGCGGAGGTTCGGGATGCCCGGCAGATGGCAGGGCGTCCGCAGGGGAGGAAGCCCGAGGCCGGGCCGGCCACCTGGCTGCCAGGCCCAGCGTTGCCACGCAGCTGTGAGGGCCGGGGAGGCCTCCAGCTGGGAACCGTCAGGACTTGAGGAAATGTGGTAATTTTTATTGATTTCAGAGAGGAAGGGAGAGAGAGAGAGAGAGAAAGAGAGAGGAACATCCACGACGGGCCCTGGTGACCCTTCTTCTCTCTGGAAACTCAGACTGCAGGCCCCACACTGGGGATCGAGCCACGACCCGGGCCTGGGCCCTGACGGGGAACGGAACCCGTCTCCCAGGTGGGTGCTCAGCCCGGGCACCCCGCGGGCGGGCGGCTCACCTGGTAGCCCGAGTCGTTGCAGGTCATGTAGCACTTGCCACAGTTGATGCACATGTCCTCGTCAATCAGGGCCACCACCTGCTCCGAGGTGCTCAGGTCCCCGAAGGCGCCCAGGTGCTGCAGCGTCCTCCCGATGACGTCCTGAGGGCAGACGGGTCAGCGGCAGAGCCCCCGCCCGCGCCCGCGGCCCCGGAGCGCACCCGCGACTGATGGGACCGGAGCGCCTCCTAACGCCTCCCTGTCAGACCGCCCTCCCATCGGGAGGGACTCCTTCCTTTCAGATTCACGCTCTTCTCCTGGCTCCTCCCGCCACGCACTGCAGGCACAGCACCTGTAAGCTGGTGCCCGTGCGGCTCAGGGGCTGAGTGCCAACCTCTGAGCCAGGAGGTCCCGGTTCAATTCCAGGTCAGGATACAGGCCAGGGTGCGGGCTCCATCCCCAGTGGGGGGCGTGCAGGAGGCAGCCGATCAGTGACTCTCTCATCGATGTTTTCACCTCTCTACTCCTCTCCCATCATCTCTCTCTAAAAAATCCATAGAGATGGGTTTAAAAAAAAAAAAATCAAGAGTGGGGAGTGGGATGAGGAGGATGGAATTCAGACCGAGATTCGCTCCTGGCTCAGAGGAGGGCGAGTGGGGCTCCTCATGAGACACAGGACTTGGGGGCGGGGGGCGGGGGAGAAGGGGTTTGGGAGGGACGACAAGCAGCTTCGTTTAGGTCCCACGGCCCCTGGGCTCCGTGCGGGCCCCGCAGGCGGAGGTGACGCACCGGACAGAAAGGAAACACGGGAAGGACATGGCACACTGACACAGCAGAACGGACGTGTGTTCTGTGGCTTCCTTACCTTGATGGCGGGAACGGGCCCTTTGGGCGTAAAACGCTGCCTCTGGATTGGCTGCCAGGCCTCGTCCTCCCCCTTCAGCCTCACCTTGCTCTCCGCTATCATCTTCTTGCGCTTCTGGAGGTAAGGCCCGAAGCTCGGCAGTTTCTATAAGGACATCGCACACAGAAGGCGAGTGAGCCCCCGGGAGGGAAAGGGCGGGGACACGGACACGGACGCATCCACACCCGAGGTGGGTCTGAGACGGGCCCAGGCTCTGCTCATTCTTCCTTTTAAAAATATATGTATTTTACTGAATTTTCACAGAGAGGAAGAAAGAGGGATGAAGAGTCAGAATCATCGATGAGAGAGAAACACCCATCAGCTGCCTCCTGCACACCCCCTATTGGGGATGTGCCCGCAACCCAGGTACATGGCCTTGACCGGAATCGAACCTGGCTCTGCTCATTATTCAACGGAGTCCAGGGCATGTCATCCTACCGAGCGCGTGTGTCTCAGACACACACACACACACACACACACACACACACACACGTTCATTAACACGTGAAGGGGCATGCCCATGGCATTTGATTTCACTGATATGCTGGTGGCACCAATGACTGACTGGTCCAGACAGAAAGTGACTGACATGGCACTTAACGTGTTAAAAATACATTCCTACACAGAACAGAGTCACAATGGGCACCATCCACCCCGTACGGCACTCGCTGCTGCTGAGACCGCATGGGTGTGCCCAGGCAGAAGCTGAAGCTGCCACGCCTCTTCCTCTCCACCCCGACCCCGTTCTGATTTTCCTCCGTCCACAGGGAGAGAAATAAAGTAGCGGAATGGAAACCGCGATGACTTCCAATGGTCCCAGAGGCGGGTAATAATATACCAGCACAGTCTCTCTGGGTTCTGAGCAGAACACGACCCCGTGAGGCCCGGCTGGCTGGTGTTGTCTGTGAGTTTCTGCAGTGGTTGGCCATATTTGCCGTATCTGAATTACACAGCCTCTCCATGGCTCAGAGTTAGGTGCTCATTTAAAAAAAAAATATTTTAATTGATTTCAGAGAGGAAGGGAGAGGGAGAGAGAAATAGCATGGATCAGCTGCCTTCTGCATGCTCCACACTGAAGGTAGAGCATGCAACCTGGACATGTGCAGAAACACCCCTTCCTCTCTAAAAACCAATAAAAATATTTACAAAAAAGAATGTTTCTCACCAAAGAACTGGCTTTTTTTTTTGAGGGGAAACACACACACACACATATACACAACATATTTACATATGACTTAGTTACATTGTTTATCTTATTTAGTCAACAAACCAAAGGCCCAGTGCGTGAAATGGTCCGTGGGAAGGATCCCTAGTGGCTGCCAGCTGCAGGCCTGGGCCTTCCTTTGTTCCACACTGCCCCCTGGTGGTCAGCACATATCACAGCGAGCGATAGACCTGAACCCTAGCCCTAACCCTATAAGGTTGATAGATAGATAATAGATAGATAAATAGATAGATAGATACCATATCAGAAGCCTACTCTGGGCGAGGAATGGTCTGTGTTCCATTAAAGGTTCAGTAACATCCACATGTTACGTGTACAACCGCCATTGCTATTAACTTTGTAGATGTGTCTGTCATTCATTCAGGGCCGTGTCAGAGGGGAGGCTGCAGTCACGGAAAGGCTGACATACACATGTCCCGGAAAGCTGGTTTCAATCACATGACCGACACTCGGGGGCAATAACAAAGAGACTCCACCATCGAAGGACTGATCTCCAACGAACTTGGGAAGACCGGGTACTTGTTGGATCTCTCACATCCAAAGTATGGGCGACAGGCCTGGGAGCATGGGGTCCCTAAGTCTGCTCCCCACCCCCAATTCCCTGCCCTGTGCCCCTGCCAGCCACCAGAGTGGGAGCTCAGTTGGAGAGTCTGTTCTGTCCAGTTCATCCCTCGATGATGAGAGAACCAACTGCACATATGTTACCCCTATTTTTATCTGGGAATGCATTCGCTGTGTCCTAGACTTGGAAACTCAGTGTGTAATCACTGATAACAGCAAGCAATTTGTCAAGAAATGGCCCCGGATGGACAGTGGCCAACACCGAGACGGGAGACGGGCCATTGGCGTTACCATAACACCGGGGGGGGGGGGGGGGGGAGGGGAGGGAGAGGCGAGGGCCCAGGCATGCAAGTCGGGACCCTGGAGTTGGACCTCGAAACATTTGAAACTAATGACATGGAACTATTCGTTTAACCCAGAACATGTACGCAGACCGCTTTTGATGAAAAAATCTGACGTGCACATCAGGAAAAGCAGCAGCCATAGTTCATGCTCCACAGTGAAGGTGGCAGGCCGCCATTTTTGACTGGCCCAGAAGCTGAAATTTGCACTAAAGGCAGTTTTGCACTCAGCGGCGGTGTGTCTGAGCCGGTGACGGGCCGTTCTGTTCCCTCTTCCTGACCAGCCCGGAGGGACCGTGCTCCACGCCGGACGCTGGTCTCAGCATCACCAGGTCCTGCGGGGAAGGGCGCGGGCCAGGGGCCCCTGGACGCACCCGCTGACACGGCCTGGCTCCAGGCTCCCTGTGTCCTGTGTCCTGATCCCGCAAACCGCGAAGGGGAAGCGCCGCGGACCGCGGCCATCATTAGGAAAACACAGAACACGTTCCATGCAAAACACCTGCACTGCCGTCCTGTTTCCCGGCCTCCAGGTCAACGAGCTCAGGCGGATGCCGGGGGAGGCTGGGGAGATTTGGCGGCGGCCAAGAGCCTGGCAGCTGCGAGAGGGCGATGGGGCCATGCGGTTTGATTAGCTGTGTTCCTGCAGCATGCCGCCCGTCCGAGGGGCTCCTCTCGCGGTGGGGGGGGCGTGGGGTCCGGGAACAGTGGGAGGTGGGCTGGGCGCTCTCGCTGCGGCTGGCAGCCTGTGGCAGAGCCGGGACTCGTTACCTTGGTCTGCTCACCTGTGCAGGGGGAGGAGGGGGGACCGGGCCATTCACAAGGCGCTTTCCTGGGACACGGCTTTGGTTCAGATTCAGGCAGAACCCTCAGGGCTTTTGCCTCGGTGGTATCACATGGCCCGTGTTAGAAACACTGGACTGAGTTGCAAATGATGACTCTTCCCTCACATTTACCATGTGTGTGTGTGTGTTTTGTTTATTTTTTTAAAATATATTTTTATTGATTTCAGAGAGGAAGGGAGAAGGAGAGAGACACAGAAACATCAATGATGACAGAGAATCATGGATTGGCTGCCTCCTGCATGCCCTCTACTGAAGGGCCCAAGTGGATTCAGGTCAGGCGCCCATGCCCAGGCTGTGGGCTCGATCCCCAGGAGGGGGCGTACAGGAGGCAGCCGATCCACAGTGCTATTCCTCAGGCACGGTGTCAGATTCCTCACATCACGTTTCAGCATCTCGTGGAGACAATGCCAAGAAGAATCACTGCAGTGCTGAAGGCAGAAGGTGGCCCAACAAGGTACTGATGGGGCGGTCATACTAATCTGGCCACTCAGTGTATATTTCCAATAACTACAGAAACGTGGTAAATTCTGTGTGTGAACGAATATATATATATATATATATATATATATATATATATATTTAAATATATTTTTATTGATTTCAGAGACGAAGGGAGAGAGAGAGAGGGAGACAGAAACAGTAACGATGAGAGAGAATCATGGTTCGGCTGCCTTCTGCACGCCCTCTACTGGGGATTGAGCCCACAACCCAGGCCTGTGCCCTGACCGGCAATCTAACCCTGACCTCCTGGCTCATTCATAGGTCAATGCTCGGTCAATGAGCAGCACCTGCCAGGCAGTAGAACTATTTTTTGGTCTAAGCAGAGTGTGGCTATTGTAGAGACTAGTGAACGGTCCCTTTTGTTTTCTTAATGCCATTGATGGACTTTTCAGCCCTCAATTGTGCCGATTAGTAAAGTAAACATGGTATTTTTATTCCTCCGATATTTTTCTTCGATTCTGGGCTCTCGTTAGAGCAGATGATGCTCTATAATCTTCAAAGTGAAGGTGGACGTATCACGGGGCCAGCCACTGGTGAGCTGTGGTCCTGACACATCATTTAAGTTTTAAAGGTAAAACCTCGGCTCCCAGTTGACGGATGCTGACTAACTTCTTTTAATGCTAACAGTGACACAGTACGTCCCCATCTGAGTTCTGAAAACCTGGCCTTTTTAGATCTCAGCGACATATTTGCTTCCCAGACCAGTCAGTTCTGAGAAGCGCACACACACAGAGCTCACCGCGCTTCTCTAGTTAAAATTTATTTTTCTAATAAATTCTGCTTTAACATTAAGGCTGGGGTTTGGCGAGTTCATCGCCACTAGGCCCTTTATTATTTTCTGAAATTGGTACCATCAAGTGAATTTAAGGAAACCAGTAAAAAACTTAACTGAATAGGGTTTGAAATATCGTGCCTTCCACAGCCCAGAGGACTCTCTTTCGCCCCAAATCCGATAAACAAAGCAAATCGATGAAGAAAAATATATATGCTTCCTGACACCACATTTATATGCCGGCTTATTTATGAAATTCTTCTTTATCGGCCCTTTCCAATGTAGGGAAATCAACTACCCGGGGGCCCTAAAACGGATCAGAGCATTATTAGCTGCGGAGATGTACATGAATGCATCGCGGCAATTACTCTGGAGGTTTTTTATTCCTTCATTCATCTTTCCCTGCTTTTCCGAGGTTAGTTTCCACCGAATCTTTAGGAGACTTTTTAAAAAAGCCTCATGACCTCATGCTCAGTGTCCAGTTTCCCAGGTGTCACGAACCCATTTCTCATCGGCGGGAGCTTTCCAAGGCATTTTCTGTGTCCAGCGACCATGGCCCGTCTGGATGGAGGCCGTGAACGAGGGAGGGGATCGGGAGGGACTACGGGTGGACACAGTGTGCGTAGTCCAGCCGACCCCCTGTGGGGGGCGGCCGCAGCTGCAGGTGGTGGGCTGGCCTGTCCCTCAGTGAGTGTGGCATTGGAAGCCGGACAGATGGCGGGTCAGTTCTAAGAAACTTTTTTTTTTTTTTTTTGAACTTGTAATGTTTTCATTTCTGCAACAAATAGACTGAAACGAGGGGGGGAAATTCCCAGAGTGGCAAGATGGTTGGGGTTTCCCCTGAGATCATCATCGTCACTTCT